AGCCCGCACGGCGCCTGGGAAAATGGTTGCGCGCGCGCGCGCGTCTTGGGAGCGCAAACCCCTCTAGGAGGCAGAGCGCAAAGATGCTCCCGGGGACCCGGCGCCCTCGGGGACTGCACAGTCCAGCGGCGGCTTCTAGGCTCAGTCAGAAAGGGAACCTCTCAGGATTTTAGATTCGAGGTTGCTTTGCCTCTCCTCCAGCGTCCTAGTGCTTGGGATGTAATAACACCGAAATCATAGATCGGTCGTTCCTGAAGCATCATTCCTGTACATCAGCCCCTTCCTGGTACGTGCATTCGCTCTCCTCTTGCTCAGCTTCGCTGCCCTTTCTTAGCCGCTCCTGAGAGGAGGCATTGCAGATTCCTGGGGCCAGTGGTGCTAATGGGGAAGGAAAAGGGCTGTTTGCCTCATCTCACTAGTCCCTCTTTAACAAAGAACTGCCCTGTTTCCAGAGTCAGGGGAAATGAGTGGGAGACCCACGCGGGTTCACACCACACACCTAAAAAATTGTGCCTCTACATGGGTGTACCCATGTGCGTGGGAACATGTGTAGCAACTGTGGATCTGCATCTAGGTATTAACTCCCTTCTCTCATTTCTCTGTGTCCTTAAGCACAGGTTTAGGCAGCTGAGTCTAGAGGGGCGGGGGTTAGGGGAGCCTAGGGGAAGCCTGTCAATGCTCACAGCCTCCACTCCAATGAAGGAGGAAAGAAGCTTGGATAAGCAAGGCAACAGCAGAAAATATTCCTAGAGTCCTGCCCTTCTTATTAAACCAGAGAATTACTTTAGCAGGTGTCTCGAATGATCATTCGTTTTAACAAATTGGGGCTTGGTGATTTTTAATATGAGAGTTTATCATCATGACAAAACACTGTTAGGATACAAGGATCATTTAAACATGGCCCATGATTGGTAGTTGGAGGATGAAATAGTAAGGGCCATGTGAATTTATTTAATGTAGAGCACACGTTATTACAACCGTCATTCAACAATCAATTACTTAGAGGTTATGGCAATAGATTGCATTGAACAAAGAAGACACCAGGCAAAGTATGTGAAGTAGGAGGAAACGGCTCTTAAACTGATAAAGGTGACACACCACATTGTGAAAATGTACTAACTACTACGAAGACATGTCAAGGTTTCATGCAGAAAGTCATTGTCAGGTTGTAGTGGTATTTAAACTAGTCCTCTGGTTCTAAATAAGAGCTCTCTCCCACCGCCCCCCCAAGTACCCTTTAGAAGAATAGTGTTAGCTTCTAAGGGTAACTGTTGATTAAGTAAAGTCAATTGTAGTTGATCTATTAAAACTAGTCAAAGTGGAGCCTATGTGGTGGGGTGGTTAAGCAGTGTACTGCGATCCTCATGGTAGGCTATTGAAAACCACCAACTGCTCCAGGGGAGAAAAACTGGGCTTTCCACTCCCGAAAACTGTTACAGCCTTGGAAACGCACAGGGGCTCACGATGACTCAGCATTGACTGGATAGCAGCGGCGGGGGTGTTCTAGTGAAAGTGTGCATTATTGTGAAAAGTAAAATGCATTGCAATCCATTGTTAACGTGCAATGAATACTGTGTGTGTGCTAGCGAACATGGTGTCGGTAACGAAAGAGTGTCCTTTTCAGTCTTGGTCACTACTCTGTCCCCAGCACATTGTTATTTGTCAAATAAATATTTGTCAAATAAATGAATGAATTTACTTCTTTAAGAAAAATCAGGAGGCATTTTCATATATAAAACTTATGCCAACAGTTAATCCTAATCTTTATACCCCTCTGTAAATTTGGCCCACATGGGCATACTAACATAAACGTGAGATCAAGTAAAAGCAGTGACTCCATTACACCGCCTTCATTCAGATCTCAGGAGGCCATGGGCAGGGCAAATGACCAACACACTAGACTGGTAACCAAAATGCTGGAAATTTAAATCTACTCGGTGGCACCTTGGAAGAAAGCCTGCTGACTAAATTCTGAAATATAAGCCATTGGAAACCAGCCCCATGAAGCACAGTTCTACTCTGATGCGCATAGGGTTGCCATGAATCAGAATCACAGCAGCTGGCACTGGCACTAATCTTTCCAATCGTAGCTCTATCATTTACTAGGCGTGAAAAGCTGGACAAACAGCCTTCTGCTTTGATGTCATCACCAGTGAAACTGAGCGATCAGCACCTGTTTTGTAGGGTTAATAACTCATTTCATTGTCATCAAATAAGTTCAGATTCATGGCAACCCTATAGAACGGAGCAGAGCTGCCTCTCGGTTTCTGAGACTGCAATCTTTATGGGAGTAGAAAATGTCATCTTTCTCCCACAGAACTGCTGGCCTTGCCACCAGGACTCCTTAAGGTAACTATGCAGATTAAATGATAACTTGTATGATGTATAAGAAATGCCAAATAAAGTCTTAATTCTATAAAACTTAACTTCTAGACGCACATTTACCTAAACAAACAAACACTCATCGCCATCACATTGATTCCAGTTTTAGAGTAACCTGTGAGTAGCCCAGTTAATTCCAATGTTCACCGGTAGGTGCGTCCTTCTCATTGTATGACAGTAAGTCCAAAGGATTACTGCAAAATCATCCAGACCTCTATAAACAAAGATATCAAAACATGAATCTGTTGTTTCTTGACACATCATCCATCCAGATTTATACACTTCTTAAGGTGGTATTTCCAACCCTTCCCCCAGAGAATTTTAGGCTCTTCAGTATATATACACCACCTTAAAATGGTAGTTTTAAGTCCTCAAAGGCCACAAATGATATTTCTTTTAAATGTTCACTAAATGGTGGGACTAAATCTCATCTGAAGAAACAGATCAGGGATGTCCCATGGATAAGGTAAGGTTTCCCTTAATCTTTTTCTTTTTCTCACCAGAACATATTTTATTTTTTTGAAACTTCTTCATAATAATGTCCTGTGATCATCTTGTGGTCCTTCAAGAAAATCTGTCGAGATTACCCTGTGGGATTAAAAATATAGCCATAACCTTCTGAGCTGATCGCTCTGACCCATTAGATTTCCTGAGGAAAACGGTTTTGATGTGTTATTTTTTTAAGGCACCTTAACAAGACTAAGACAAATGTATTACCAAAAGTGCTTGTCGATAGCCAGCCATTGATCACAGAGACATTTTGTTTGAAATGAGCCTGTGCATATATGTAAAGAACCCTAGGGCATTCCGCCTTACCTTCCTATTACTGACAAATACTTCTGGGTGTACTCATATGTAAGGGCATACATTTCCTTCTATAGATGTCTTCACATACTATCTTCTGCTCCAGATGTTATCCAGTTTCAAGAATAAGGTATTATTTTCCCTCAGAATTCTCAATATACACATTATTTACCCTTATATATTGGTCAAATAGCATTGCCGATGGATTGGAACATGGGTGAATAATCCAATGCTAAAATTCAAAATTAATACTTAATATTAGCAAACATCATAAGCACAACAATATTAAATTCACCTCCAAGGAATACTTGAGCAGGTTGGTAATTCAGAGAAGGTGCACAGGGTGGATGAAAAAGCATGAGCTATGTGCCCTTGGGCTGGTTACTTAACCTTCCCGAGCCTGCGCTTCTTCAGCAGCAAAATGAGCCCAGTTATATTACTTCTGGAATTATGTGAAAAGTTCTAAAATACCTAACCCCTAAAACATCTTCATTTAGAATGATTTTTACTTTATTTAAGTATAATATAAAGCATTGAAATGATTTTTCCCAAAAAAAGCAAAAGCTTTCTCACCTGAAAAAAAAAAGATACTTTGGAATCCAGCCTACATTCGTCCCTTAAGTTTTAAAATAAAGCAGCAGCACAGTGCTTTCGAAATTTGTTAGTTGACACCCAGTCAGCCCTAGCTCATAGTCACTCTGTGAACAGCAGAGCAAACACTGCCATATCCTGCGCCAGCCTCACATCGTGATGTTTGAGCCCATGGATACAGTCACTCCGTCCATCCACTGCGTGGAAGGTCTTCTTTTTCTCTGACCTCTTGTCCTCCTCCAGGGACTAGTCTCTCCGGATGACACGTCCAAAGTACATGAGACAAAATCTTTCCATCCGTGCTTCTAGGAAGCATTCTGGCTGTACTTCATCTCAGACAGATTTGCTTTTTCTTGCAGTCCAGGAACTGTTGATGTACTTCTTCTACTATATAATTCAAGTTCATCAATTCTTTGGCAGTCTACCTTATTCATTGCCCAGTTTTCACATGCATATGAGGTGACTACAAATATCATGGCTTAGGTCAAGCGACTAAATTCCTCACAGTGACTCTTGTTCTTCAACGCTTTATGGAGGTCTTGAGCAGCTGTTTTGTTAAAATACATCTTTTTCATTTCTTTACTATTCCTTTCATGAGCATTGGTGTGGTTCAC